CCAGCTCTGGCCATTGTGGCCATTTGAGGAGTGAACCAATGGCTGGAATATTTCTTTCTCTTTCTGTAACTCTGCTTTTCAAATACAAAAATAAATCTTAGAAAAAAAAGTTGCCATCCAATATTTCCCTTCAATAGTGCCTTCCTTCTCTCTTTACAATAAAATCCAGTGGACTTTTTTTTTTTACATTTGTGTCTTATTTCTTCTCATTCTCTCCCATCAGGTTGTTTTGTTTTTTTTTTTTTTAAGATTTATTTACTTATTTGAGGGGCCGGTGCTGTGGCACAGCAGGTAAAGCCGCTACCTGCAGTGACGGCATCCCAAATGGACGCCAGTTCAAGTCTCAGCTGCTCCACTTCAGACCCAGCTCTCTGTATGGCCTGGGAAATCAGCAGAAGATGGCTCAAGTGCTTGGGCCCTGCACCCACGTGGGAGACTCAGAAGAAACTCCTGGCTTTGCATCGGCGCAGCTCTGGCCACTGCGACCATCTTGCGAGTGAACCAGAGGATGGAAGACCTCTCTCTCTCTCTGCAACTCTGCCTTTCAAATAAATAATCTTTAAAAAAAGAAAGAAAACAGAGTTAGAGAGGGAGAGGTGGAGGCAGAGAGATCTTCCATCCACTGGTTCATTCCCCAAACAGCCACAATGGCCGGAGCTGAGCAGATCAAAAGCCAGGAGCTAGGAGCTTCTTCTGGGTCTCCCAAGTGGGTACAGGGGCCCAAGGACTTGGGCCATTCTTCACTGTTTTCCCAGGCACAATAGCAGGGAGCTGGATTGGAAGTGGAGCAGCCAGGACTAGAACCGGTGCCCACAGGGCATACCAACGCTGCAGGCAGCGGCTTTACCCACTATGCCACAGCATTCCCATCAGGTTTTTATCCCCACATTTACACTGAAACTATTCACCAAAGACTTGCACATTATCAATCAGCTCCTCTTTGAAATGTTTTCCACTCTGAGACATCTCATTTTACTGTATTTCTACTGCCTTCAGCTATGGTTCCCTTCTTGGTATCCCTTGCTGAATCATCTACTTCCACCTACCTTGTAAATGTTGATTGTACCAGAATTCTTCCCATGAGGTAATCTGGGTAGTCTTATCTAATCTCTTGGTTTTACATATCATAAATATGCTAATATAGTAACATCCATTTGTCTAAGCACTCCTACCCCAACTCCAAATGCATATTCCCAGCTACCAAAAACTCCAGGCTACATGTGGAATATGTCAAATTTGATATGTTTAAAAACAAAACATTTACATCTCTAGCTACCCAAACTTGCTCTTCAAGTTTTTTCTATTTCAGAAGGGATAATCATTCATTCATATACATGTTGCTCAAAAAAAACTTTCTTCACATCCCATATGGACGCAAATCCTGTGGACTCTACCTTCAAACCATTTCCAGAATTCCCCCATTTCTTACCAGCTCTACTGTTACCATTCCAGTATAAAGTACCATTCTTCTTTCACTGTAAAACATATCTTAACTGATCTCGCACAGCATCTCATAAGCTAAAGTTTTCTTTTCACATAGTAGTCACTGATCCAGAGAAAGGAAGAGAGCAAGAAGAGATCTTCTATCCATTATCCACTCCCTAAATGGCCGCAACAATCGGTCAAAGCCAGGAGCCAGGAGCTTCCTCCAGGTCTCCCACGTGGGTGCAGGGGCCCAAGGACTTGAGCCATCTTCTGCTGCTTTCTGCGTTGTATTAGCAGGCAGCTGGATCAGAAATGGAAGAGCCTGGACTCAAACCAGCACCCACATAGGATGCCAACACTGCAGGTGGCAGCTTAACCTTCTATACCACAGCGCCAACCCCAGTGATAAATCTTTAAAACATGAATTATGTCATATCACTAAAGAGCTTTCAATGACTACCATCACACTCAAGATAAAGTGCAAGATCAGGGCCAGTGCCATGGCATAGTACATTAATCCTCTGCCTGTGGCGCCAGCATCCCACGTGGGCACCAGTTCTAGTACCGGCTGCGCCACTTCCAGTACAGCTCTCTGCTATGGCCTGGGAAAGCAGTGGAAGATGGCCCAAGTCCTTGGGTCCCTGCACTTTCGTGGGAGACCAGTAAGAAGCGCCTGGCACCTGGCTTCAAATTGGTGCAGCTCCAGCTGTTGCAGGCATTTGGGGAGTGAACCAATGGAAGGAAGACCTTTCTGTCTCTCCCTCTCACTATCTGTAACTCTACCTCTCAAATAAAATAAATAAAATCTTTAAAAAAAAAAGTAGAAGATCTTTATCGAGATCCTTGGTTATGTCTTCAATTCATCTCTTTTCCCGACCCCCACCATTCACTTTGCTGGAGTCACACTGATTTTCGTGCTATTTCTCAACATACCAGGCATACTTCTGAGTCTTTGCCCCTTCTGATCTGTTTGCCTAGAATTTTCTTCCCCCAGATATTCATATTCCTTACTTCCACATTAAACTCAGATCTCGGCTGGCGCCGCAGCTCAATAGGCTAATCCTCCGCCTGCGGCGCCAGCACACCGGGTTCTAGTCCCGGTCAGGGCACCAGATTCTGTCCCGGTTGCCCCTCGTCCAGGCTAGCTCTCTGCTGTGGCCCAGAAGTGCAGTGGAGGATGGCCCAAGTGCTTGGGCCCTGCACCCCATGGGAGACAAGGAGAAGCACCTGGCTCCTGCCTTCGGATCAGCGCGATGCGCCAGCTGCAGCGTGCCAGCCGCGGCGGCCATTGGAGGGTAAACCAACGGCAAAAGGAAGACCTTTCTTTCTGTCTCTCTCTCTCACTGTCCACTCTGCCTGTCAAAAAAAAAAAAATAAAAAAAAAAATCATATCTCTGCTCAAGAGTTTCTCCTCAGAGATCTTCCAGACTACCCTATCCAAAGTAGCTACTAACCTGCCCATTCCCTCCTCAAAGCCCCTACTCTATAGCCTATTCAGTTTTATTTTTCTTCATTACACTTACTGGTGTCTAACATTTGTTGTTAGCTACATCTCAACAGTTAAGTCAAATCTTTGAGAAGTCAATACTGGACACCAAATAGACAAGCAGCTGATAATTCTTGAATGAAAAGCAAATGAATGATGCCTTCAGAAACCAAGACAGGTCTAGAAAGGTTAGAAACAAATCTGAACATTCTCAACACGTTAATATTCTTTCACTGTAGTGAAGCAGATCGTGCCATCTGAATTCTGTAGCTGAGGAAACAAAGCTCAAACAGTTGGGGCCCTGCCACCCCTATGGGAAACCTGGACTGGATTCCTAGTTTCCAGCTCTGGCTTGGTCCAACTGTAGCCACTGTGAATATTAAGGGAATTAACCTGAAGATGGACTTTCTGTTTGTATCTGTCTCCCTCTCAAAAAAACAAATTATTGATAATAAGTTTGCTAAACTATTAAGAAACAGAACCTCACCCTTCCCCCCCAAAAAAAGAGTCAGATTAAGAAAATAATATGAATAAGGGGCGGAGTTGTGGTGCAGTGAGTTAACACCCTGGCCTGAAGCACCGGCATCCCATAAAGGCGCTGGTTCTAGTCCTGGCTGCTCCACTTCTGATCCAGCTCTCTGCTATGGCCTGGGTAAAGCACTGGAAGATGGCCCAAGTCATTAGGTCTCTGCACCCATGTGGGAGACCCGGAAGAAGCTTCTGGCTTTGGATCGGCCAAACTCCACCTGTTGCAGCCATTTGAGGAGTGAACCATTGGATGGAAGCTCTTTCTCTCTCTCTGCAATTCTGCTGTTCAAATAAATAAATAAATCTTTTTTTAAAAAATTATATAATTTTTGGGGCCAGCGCTGTGGCGTAGTGAGTGAAGACGCCGCCTGCAATGCCGGCATCCCATATGGGCGCTGGTTCGAGTCTCAGTTGATCCACTTCCGATCTAGCTCTCTGCTGTGGCCTGGGAAAGCAGTGGAGAATGGCCCAAGTCCTTGGGCCCCTGTAACCACATGGGATACCCAGAGGAAGCTCCAGGCTCCTGGCTTCAGATTGGTGCAGCTCTGGTTGTTGTGTCCAGTTGGGGAGTGAACCAGCAGATGGAAGACTTCTCTCTCTGTCTCTCCTTCTCTCTCTGTGTAACTCTTTCAAATAAATAAATAAATAAATCTTTTAAAAAATTATATGATTTCATACTTTTGCCTTTGAAACCATTATCTGCTTTTTTTCCTCCATCTTACCCAGTAAATATATATGTATGTGTATGTATACATATATGTGTGTATACATATATGTGTGTGTATGTATACACACACTCTCCTTCTGAACCTTTCAGCACTTTCTTCAATATAAAATTGAAATCCATTTCCTCCATGAGGTTCAACCCCTTCAAGGCAGGCAATCCTAAGTCTCCCTCAGCTACAAGCACAACCCAAGCATGCACTTTATAATTATTTGTTAAATGTATAGTTTATTTGATCATGTAAATATACTTAAATCACAGTAGCTTTGTTTCCAGAGGCATCTAGCTATTGTCAAAACCTTCATAGCAGTTGTCACTTCATGTTTATTTACCTTCACAGTACTAAGAAATACTGACTGACAATCTACTGAGGAACATTCATTTAATAGATATTTAAAATAAGGGCAAAAAACATAAAATAAGAGAGGGCCCGGCATTGTAGCATAGCGGGTATAGCTGCTGTCTGCAGTGCCAGAATCCTGTACGGGCATGGGATCAAGTCTTGGTTGCTCCACTTCCAACCCAGCTCCCTGCTAATGTGTCTGCGAAAGCAGTGGAAGACGGCCCAAGTAACTGGGCCCCTGCACCCATGTTGGAGATGCAGATGAAGCTCCTGGCTCCTGGATTCAACCTGGCCCAGCCCCAGTCATTGCGGCCACCTGGGGAGTTGAACCAGCGGACGGAAGATCTTTGTTTCTCCCTCTCTCTCTGTACCTCGGCCTTTCAAATAAATCATCTTTATTAAAAAAAAAAAAAAAAAGACAATACAAATGGTTAATCCTTATAATACATCCCATATATACATTAAACACATCTTAAAAAAAAAATACAACTTACCCTAATGCAGCTGAAGCAACAAAGCTTAGAGCAATGAGGACACAGGCGTGCATCCCGCAATTTCTCCATACAAATGAAACATCGGAAAACCTCAGCAATGCTCTGAAAATAAAAGACATAAATTCTATCAGATTAGGCTACTAAATCAAGAATAAAAAGCAAGCTAAAAATTTGTTCAGGAAGCAGGCATTTGGCCTAACAGTGAGGGTACCAGGTAGGACATGTGTGTCCCATATCAGTGTACCTGGGTTCATTTCCAACTCTGAGTTCTGATTCTAGCTTCCTGCTGGTGTGGACCCTGGGAGACAGTGCAGATGGCTCCCATGGTTGGGTTCCTGTGTTGGGAGGCCTTCACTGGGTTCCTGGCTTCAGCCAAAATTCTTTCTCTTTGCCTCCCAAATAAATAACAATAATTAACTTGACATTTACATTTATTTTGGGCTGATCAGATCTCATTTCTAACTATATTCTCTACCATGACTAACAGTAAAAGTCCTGGGTACCTCAGAACAGCTCCTAGAAAATGTACTTTTTTTTTCCTAAGCTTCATGATGATTTTACTCTAAGAAAAAGATATGAAATGCAAACATAGAATAATGCACAAATATTTTCACTGAAGCATTAATTATAATGGCAAGAATCCACTTAGAGCCCAAATAAGAAGTTAAAAAAAATAAGTAATATATGGTAGTTAATTATGACGGTCATTAGAAATATTTTTTGATTTAATGATAGGATGTATAACAGTAAGAGAAAAAATATGCAATATGAGTTAAAAAAATGCAATATGAAATGTTTACTTTTATGAACTTTCCCCAAACAGGGTAAACTGCTTTTACAATTCAGAGGGAAAAGGTTTTTAAACCAATACTTAAATTAATGGCACTGTACTCTGACCCAGAGAGAAACTAATTCAGAATTCAGAAATCTGAACTTCTGCCCCGATGCTGCAACCAACTAGATTACTTATTTGAGTCTGAGATTCTGCCCTATTGAAAATTTTGGTGGCAATTCCATGACCCCACAACAACAACAAAAAGATCACTTAAATAGAAGAAACAGCATTGTTTGCAAGCCTCAACTGAGTCAATTTAAGAAGTAACTGACAAGTTATAACAAGAAATCATATAATTAAATGTATGGCTACTGTATAGATTTTTACATTAACATTTAGTTTTATTCCATTCCAGGAGAATTAAAACCTCCCTTTCTCCCCCCCCCCCATTTTTGTTTGTGTTTTTTAAACAAAGCTAAGTTTACAAAAACCTTAACAATACTTTCAGCTGAGGAATTGAGGAGAAACCTATTCACTAGTCTCATCATGACTCTGCAGGCTAGAAGGAACCTGTGAGATGCAGGGTGAACACTGAGACCATTAGGTGAACGAATTTCAAGTGCAGTGCTCATTAAAATAGGTAACCTTTATTAAGGACGGATTTAGGATTTCAGCATTTGAAGATTCAACATATGACGATTACAAAATTATGCCCAATAAACAAATCTTTTCTTTCGTCCCTAGCCTTTAGATAAACATCCCAACCACGTGAAATCACAACTTACAAGAATCCTCTATAAAGAGAATAACTGTTCTGGAAACTAGTCAAACGAGAGAGAACAGCTATACCCTCATGCAAGCCTGCCAAGCACGCCGCTGAGGGAATGCTGACCATTAGGAGGGATATTTGGATCTCAGGAACTCGCGCGTGGTGCTGAGAGGCAGGTGCGGCACGCCCAGCTGGGGAAACGGCAGTCTAGCTCTGCACAGGCTGTACTTTGCAAATACCCAGCGGACGCGAGCACAAAGTGCCAAGACATCCTTGAAAATGAAAGGGCACGCAGCACCTGACTGCGGAACGGGCTGAGTCCGTGCACCCGAGGGATGCAGGCTGAGCACCGCGTCCTTCGAGCCGCCGCAGCCTTCTCCACAGCGGCAGGAGGGCTCATCTGGCGGCGGGAGAAGAGATCAACCACCAACCACCCTCCTCAACCTCCTCACCTCCACGCTCTGTTCATCCATCGCCTCCGGCTCTCGACCGGGCCCGCGGAGACCCGCGGAGTCCGTGGTCTGACCTGCTAGGCGCCGGCCGGAGGTCGCCAGGTCAAATCGCCGAGACAAGCCCGGAGTCCACGTCAGAGTACTCCGACAACTGCCCCACCTGCGCGCCCCATCGCTTCAGGGTCGGTGCCGGCTACCCCCCTTTCGCCATTTTGATCCGCAAGCCCGACGTGGGGCGCAGAGGGAGGGCAAGCTGTGGCCGCAGCTCCTTCCTCCCGGCTCAGCTGCCCGCCAGCGATCGCGAGGAGCCTCGGTCCACGTGACGCGAGCGTGCGCGTGTGAAACAGTCGCTGGAGGCCGGCGGCGCAGGTCTGAGGCGAAGAAGCCGCTTCAGAGAATTCTCAAACACCAACGGTAACCAGGGCGGCCGGGGGCGCGGCGGCTAGAGAAAGCGCGATGCGCATGCGCGCGGAGCGCTGCGGGAGAGGAGGAGAGAGGCGAGGCGGGCGCTTAGTTCCCGCGGTGCGGGAGCGCCCACGAGACTTGGCGGCCCGCTGCGGCAGTTGAGTCCCTCGCGGGCACTCGGAGCGTGGCCCCTAGCCACGCCACGCCCCGCTCCACGGGAGGGCGGCGCCCTAACAGGGCTTAAATTTTGCCCGCCAAAGGTTGGAGCCACCTGGCGCGCTTGTGGAACACGCAGGCTCAGCAGCCATGCCCCTAGGTGTTCGGACTCCAGGGATCTAGGCTGGGGCCCGTGAAATCGCGTTTTCTACAGCCGTGCGCGGTCGTTGGCAGCGGGGGGTCTTGTGCGGAGGCTGTGTGGTTGTGGTTCTTTCTTTGGGAGAAGCCCAGATTCCGAGGGCTTTCGGACTTCCGCTCCTCCCACCGAAGCCCGTTTGTTGGACCTAGGGAAAATGTTTCTCCGTTCCGTAGTGGGCTGTCGGGACCACACAGCAGATATCAGACCCCCACGACTTACCCTCGGCCTCTTGCTTCTTGCCGCTTGAGCAGTGCGGTCGCCGTGGCACTATCAAAATGGAATCAGCTGTATTCAGCTTCCCTATAATTGGGGCCAGCTTGTTAGAATTTCCTGCCAGATGAGTAACGATGGCAAGAATTAAAGATGGGAGAGACAAAGGGTGTATATCAAAATCTTGGTTATAATTTAATATTTACAATGTGTTGCAAACTATTATACTTAACCCAACCTAGAATATATAGAAAATTAATAAAGTGGAAATTGTTGAATACCAGGCATTTGGAACGGGAAGTTTTTTAAACTGAACCATATTCAAGATACAATTTGGAAGCTGAATCTGGGACTGAAAATTCTTTAAAAACTATCCAGGGCAGGCATTGTGGCACAGCAGGTTAAGTTCAGCTTGGAATGCCCAAATCCCATGTAGGAGTGCCATGGTCTTTGGATGCAGCTTCCTGCAGGTGTGCACCCTGGAATGGCTAAAATAGTGGGGTCCCTGCCACCTACGTGTAGGAGAGGAGAGCAGGATGGAGTTCCAGTCTCCTGACTTCAGCCCGGCCCAGTCTTGACTGTTGCATTCAGGGAGTGAACCAGCAGATGGAAGCGCATTTCAAATAAACAAAATTTGGGGGGAGGGAGATTACTTATGGAATTGAAATTACATGGAGGTGTCAGTTGTACAACTCTTTGTATTAAAATGCCCTCAGTTATACACTTCAAAATGGTTGGTATGTTACATGAATTTTATCTCAAAGTTATTTATGGGGGTCGGGGCTGTGCCATAGTGGGTAAAAGCCACAGCCTGCAGTGCCAGCATCCTATATGGGTGCCGGTTCAAGTCCCGGCTGCTCCATTTCCTATCCAGCTCTCTGCTATGACCTGGGAAAGTAGTAGAAGATGGCCCAAGTGCTTGGGCCTGTCCACCCCTTGGGAGACCCAGAGGAGGCTCCCGGCTTTGGATTGGCACAGCTCCAGCTGTTGTGGCCATATAGGAAGTGGACCAGTGGATAGAAGACCTCTCTCTCTCCAGCAGGGGAAGCAGGACAAACAAGACTCATAGAATGGCAAACGCCTCAAACAGCACTCTGGCCTCAGAATCAACCCTTGGGGCACTCGGATCTGGCTAAAAGGCCCATGAGAGTCTCACAGGCATGGAAAGCCATGACATGGTGGCAAAAACAACCTAAATGAAAGATCCTGGTGAACAAGACCCCAGCAGAAGGAACAGGCCATCAAGGAGGGAGGCGCCTTTCTCTGAAGGGAGGAAGGAACCTCCACTGTGATATGGCCTTGACTAAACAAGTTCAGAGTTGGTGAACTCAAGGGGCTTCCATAGCCTAGATGGCTCATGCAAGAGCCTCAGGTGATTGCTGACATCATACATAAGAGTGCCAATTGTTAAATCAACAACGGGAGTCACTGGGTACATGCTCCCCCCCCTCAAAAAAAAAAAAAAGACCTCTCTCTCTTTGCTTCTGCCTCTCTGTAACTCTGCCTTTCAAATAAAGGAATCTTTAAAAAAAATTATGGGTTGGGGTCAGTGCTGTGACACAGCAGGTTAAGTTTCAGTCTGCAGTGTCGGCATCCCTTATGAGCACTGGTTCAGTCCCTGCCGTTCCAGTTCCCATCCAGCTCCCTTCTAATGCGCCTGGGAAAGCAGCTGAAGATGGTCCAAGTCCTTGGGCCTCTGCTCCCAAGTGGGAGATAAGGATGAGGCTCCTGGCTCCTGACTTCGGCCTGGCCCTGCCCTGGTTGTTGCAGTCATGTGGGGAGTGAACCAGTCGATTAAAGATCTCTCTGTCTTTCTCTCTGTCTCTCTCTCTCACTATCCACTCTGCCTGTCAAAAGAAAAAAAAAAAAGATCTCTCTGTGTGTTTCTCCCTCTCTCTGTAATTCTGACTTTCAAATAAATAAATAAATCTTAAAAATTATTTCTGAGGGGGCTGGCGCTGTGCTATGCTTCTGATGCAGCTTCCTGCCACCATGCATGGGAAGGCAATGGAGGATGGCCCAAGTCACTGGACCCTTGCCACCCATGTGGGAGACCAGGATAGTTGCTGGCTCTGGGCTCTGGCGTGGTCCAGACCTGGCTGTTGCAGCCATCTGGGGAGTGAAGCAGTGGATGGAAGAGCACCCTTCTGTCTACTCTCCACTGATACCCCCTCCTTTTTCTAAAAAAAAAATTTAAAAAGAGAAATGTTAGCACACAAATGCTCAAAAAGAAATTTTTAAATTATATAAAAGTATAATTCTATAACCTGAAGAATATTTGATACATTTTTACTAATGTCTTCAATGCCTAGTTTTATTACATAGGAGTACATGTAAATATGTTATTGAAGTGTTATTAAACATAATACCAAATCTTGTGCTAAATATTTTATTGTTCTCCCAGCCATACTGATGCATATATTTGTGATTTGCTCAGTCACAGCTAGAATTTAAAACCTATATACAATATGTTTTCTGTTATATGTAGAAGTTTTTTTAAAAAAAGTCAATCAGAATTCAAAACAGGGATTATTAGAGGCTTAGAAGAGAAGGAGATTTCATAAGGAGCACAACACACAGATACAAGTAATAGATCCTAAGGTCAGGCACTGAGGCATAGTGGGTTAAGTCCCTGCTGATGTTCACAATTCACTTAGAAGCCTAGATTGAGTCTCAACTTCTCTACTTCCAATCCAGCTTCCTGCTAATGCACATCCTGGAAGGCAGCAAATAATGGCTTAAATACTTGGACCCCTGTCACCTATGTGGAAGTCCTAGATGGAGTTGTTGGCCCCAACTGTTGTAGGCATTTGGAGAGGGAACCAGTGGATAGAAACTTTACCTCTTTCTACCTTTCAGATAAACAAAAATAAAATTTCTTCAAGGTAAGATTCTAGTATTCCACAGCACAGTGCACTAACTATAGTTCACAAAAAGCTATTATAAACTGTAAAGAACTGGAATAAAAGAGCTGGTAGGCTCCAAACAAAAACTAATAATAAAAACTACTACAGTCGTTCCCCCTTATCCAGAGGAGATAAAGTACAAAACTCCCCAATGGACGTGAAACCACAAATACCAAATTCTACTTATTGTCTTTTGTTGGGATTTATTTATTTATTTGAATGAGTTATAGAGACAGAGAGGGAGAGGCAGATCTTTCAACTACTGGTTCACTCCCTGAAAAGCTGCAATGGCTGAGTCTGAGTAAGGCCAAAGTTAGGAGCCAGGAACTCCATCCAAGTCTCCCACATGGGAGGCAGGGGCCCAAAGACGTGAGTCATCTTCCTCTGCCTTCCCAGGCACACTAGCAAGGAGCTGAATCAGAAGTGGAGCAGCCAAGACAAACCAGCATAGGATGCTGGCATCACAAATGGTGGCTTAACCCACTGCATGGCAAGACAGGCCCCTTGTGCTTTAATTTGAGAAGCAAAGACAGAGCTCCTACCTGCTAATTTAGTCCTCAAATACCCACAATGGTTTGGACTGGGCCAGATAGAAACCCGGAGCTGGGAACTCAATCCAAATCTTCCATGTTAATGACAAGAACCCAAAAACCTGAGCCATCACTGCTGCCTCCCAGGCTCTGAATTAACAAGAGTCAGTAGCTAGAGCCAAGTGTCAAATCCAGGCACTCTAATATGATAAATAGACACCTTAACCACTAGGATAAATGCCTGTCTCACTATATAGATTTTTTTTTCTATATGCCATACAGCATTACAGCCCAGCTGTGATGCTTAATTTTAGGTGTCAACTTGACTGGATTAAGGAATACCTTGAGTGAAGGTGTCTCCAGAAGAGATCAGTATGTGAATGAGTGGACTGAGGGGAAGATTTTCTCTCAGTGTGGCACTATCCAATCAGCTGAGATCCTCCATTGAACAAACACATAAGGTGAATTGGTCTTTCTTCCCCAACAGCTGGGATAGACTGCTCTGCTGCTTTGGACATCGGGACTCTAAACTTTCCATTCTCTGGAATCCAGGATTTATACCAACAGCTTCTTAGGTTCTCAGGCTTTAGGCCTGGGCCTAAGAGTTACACCATTACTCTGGTTTCTCTTCAGATCATATAAATCTTTCGCCTTTTACTAAAGAGTTACACCATTGGATTCTCTGGTCCTGAAGGCTTCAGATTTGGACTGAGCTGTGCTGTGACATCCCAGTGTCTTCAGTATACAGACAACCTGTTGTGGAACTCCTCAACTGCCATAATCTCATGAGCCAATTTCACTAGTAAATCCATTATTTGTCTACACATGTTCTATTCTATCACTCTGGAGATCACTTACTAGTGCAAATTAGATATTATAATAGTAACAGTTAACCTGATAACCAGGACAGAAACTGAGACTAATAGACAGGTAGTGGAAACAGCATGGATATGCTGGATAAAGGATTGGAGCAGAACAGCACAAGATCTTATCACGCTGCTTATAATGGTGCACAATTTAAAACATCAGACTTATTTCTAGAATTCTCCATTTAATA